AACATGCGAACATAAGGTTGCTAATTGAAACATGCCAAAAAACTAACCACTGAAAGTAGGTAAGTAAAAGGGAGAAGGAAATGGGGGTTGGAAGACATGCATCGCACACACGCACGCTTATTATAACAATACGCCCTCTCGACAGAGGGTCCGAATGAATACGCTGAGCTAGCTATGCTAAGCTAATCAACCAATCTAATAATCAAATTAGACTAATTATTACACAACCAAATTGAATAACTAGCTACAACTAATTATTACAAAACTTTAACTAATCAAATGAATTAATTAAATTACAACACCGAATGCTAATTAACAAGTAAAGCACTATATCAGGCTGCCTCAGCTCTACCCTGAACAAGGAAGGATGCATGCTCTCAATTCTCACCCCGAAAAGCTCTCCAAATTCTCTTTTAGAGGCTCTCTCTGCAGGGTGTCCTCGAGAATTAGCTGTTGAATCTTACCAAAACAATGCTGAGGAGTGCACCGGTGGCCTGCCGGCCATGAGGAGCTGCTGCTGACCCTGCTGCCGACCAAGAGGGCACACTACCGGCCATCAACAATGCACTGCCGGCCAACAATAAGGGGGGTGCCGGCCACTGGTGTGCTGGGACACCAAGTTGCAGCAAAGCAAAAAATATAGAAAATTGAGGGTCTCCCGAGGGTATGTACGCACTATGCCACCCCATATCACTTCCAAACATCAATGGAATGGGCATCATTGGATCCAAGACCATCAATCGTGCATCTCGATGCGTGATGGTCAAAGATCCAACATGTGCAAATTTCAATAAATGCATGACAAATAAGACACCAAGACCATCTCCTTATCATGAGGAATCAAAGGAAATGGAGACCGAGGGAGATTGGTTTATTTCATCACTTCAAGTATGAAATGAACCAATCTTCCTCGTGTTCAATGCGACAACCGATTGAACACAATGCAAAACATGCAAACAAAATGACATGCAAATAACATGCTAATGATGGCATGAAATGCACTACTCTAAACATGCAAGCATGATGCAATGTAATAACGTGGAACAATATGCAATGGAACTAGCATGCAACAACACACAATGTACCAAGTATGCAACAAGCATGCGACAACATGCAAGACAAGCATGCAACAACATACAAAGACAAACATGCAAAGATGGACTTAAACCAAAATGGACAGACCTCAATCATGTCCAAATTAGTGGCTAATAGTGCTAAAATGATGGTATGAAAAGCATGAAAAGGCAAGACAAACATGCATCCCAATTGGTTTAAGGATTAAGGCACAAAGATGCGACTCTCAAGCACACTTAAAGAGTGACAAGCATGGATATGTGACAGCACCATAAGTTCTGAAAACATGCATGGAATGGTGCCAAACCACCCTAGCAAGACAAACAAAGCATGCAGAAAAGCTCAAAGCTCGAAACTAGCAAAGGGACTTAAGCCATGGCCATGCAAAGCAAGCCTCAAAGGGGCAAGGGCATCCAAAATAGTCCCAAGGCAGGTCAAGGTGAGACTAAAAACATGCTTGAACCTAGCCAATGCAAGCTAGAACAAAAGGCCGAAAACATGAAGCATGCAAGGCTGCAAAAGGGGTATTACACTACACCTATTTATACCAAACATGGCATGACTTGGACTACATAAAAAAGAATTACATCATGATACAACAAGACCAAAAATGTACTGATATGATGACCCAAAGGCCTAGGCTTGATGGCATGCACAAAATTTCATTCTTGAGGCATAAAGAGCCAAACCTCCAAGGCATTAAAAGAGTGGCAAGCACAAGTATATGACCATGAAATATGCACTGATATAACATTTCAAATGATGCCAAAGCATGCAAACATCACAAGTATAACATGGTAAGAGGCCTTAAAACTCAAGACTAGCCAAAGCATTTGCACTATAGCTATACAAAACATGAGCGATATGACCATGGCAGCACAAAACAGTCCTAGAACAGCCCAAAATATGAATAAAATCATGCTGGAGCATAGCCAAAATATGCTAGAATGATGAGCCAAAACATCATGCACATAATGCTAGTAAGCAAGATTTGCACTACAAGTACATGAGCCACTCAAGAGACAACCAAACCAACTTTAGACAGAGTTATGAGATGTCAAATGATGGCCAAAAACCTATTGAAATGAAGCCAACACATGCTAGCAAGACATGCTACTTTGATGAGCCACAAATGGGATTACACTACACATACAAGATGCATGCACAAGGTGACCAAACCAGCCATGGATAGAGTTAAGGCAGACCCTAAAAGTCACAAAAAAGTTCCTGAACTAGGCCTCAAAAGTATAGAGATACATGCTCATTTGATAGGCCAAAAACTCAAGCAAACAAAACAAAGAGAGAGGGGGTCACGCCCTCTGATTTGGGCCCTCAGAATAGGGTTTTTACCACTGAAAATCCTCTGGATTTCAGTGGTTCTAAGGCCAAAAAGAAGTTGTTTGAAAAGTTTGAAAGTTAGCTCAGAAGGCCTTACAAGCCAAGGAGCAAAAGGGAGGACAACGCCCTAGCCAAACAAGGCACAAACCAAGACTTTTAGGACTGAAAAATAGAGGAAAAACAGAGGTTTTTGTAGTTCAACACCACCCCCAAAACAGCCCCAAAGTAGTGTGAAAAGATGGCCAAGCAAATGTGTAAAACAAGCTTAAAGGGAGAGAGATGTTGCCCTTGATGCACAACTACAAAACCAGCCCAAAATCTTAGCCAAAACACCTTTTGGAGCTCCAACAAAGTCCCAAGTAAGCTTCAAGCAACCTCCTCCCAAAGATGGACCACTTTCACCAAGGATGTCTAGGCAAAAGAGAGGTATTTCTCTACTTGCATGCACAAAAGGCAAGAGAGAGAGGCTTTAGAGAGAGAGGCAAAGATCAAACTCTGAAAATTGTAGAGAGAGAGGGAGTTTTAGTGAGAGGAACTCTCAAAACCTGCTCAAGAAGTTCTCCAATGTTCTAACCCCTCAAAACAATAGATAAGGCCTCCATATATAGCAAAAAGAGAGGTTTGGGTCAAAAATATCTCAAAAAAGACAGCTGGAGCAAAATATCCGTCGAAATCTACTTTCTGGCATCAATGGCCGGCACTTTATCATTGTTGGCCAGCACCTTACCATTGTTGGTCGGCAAGGGGTCACTTTTGGATGGCATAGGGCCGACATTGGCCATTCATCGCCGGCACAATCCCATAGAGTCCGACAGCAAAAACCAGTCCTAGTCCCCGACTTGAAGAAAGCCTAACTCCTTCATATTGATGCCTTTTTAGGTCATTCCTGTGTCCAGAATGAAGCCCCGGAAGTAATATTTTCAATGGTGGAAGCCTTGCATCAAAATTCCAAGTGTGCTAAGAGATATTCCTCTTTTAGTGAAAACTGCTCAGTTTCAGTCGAAGATTGATGCCTAACTTCCAACAACCATATCTCTCCCATCCGGACTCGGCTTGAGGAGATTCTTGAATGAAAAATGAAGCCCCGGAAGTCTTCTTTCCAACAGTGGTGGCCTGATAGCTAAAATCCAAGTGTGCAAATGAATAGGCCTAACTCAGCGAGGGCTGCTCGACTCTCTCTTAGCAATTCATACCCAACTCCTTCCCCAACTGGGTTTCTTCCCTCTCCTCTTCTTTTCTTCAACGCCAAACCCCTAGACAAGGTGTTTTGAAAGATTTTTTCAAAGATTTTCTCTCTCTTTTATTTATTTCCACTTTTTCCTTGCTCGGTTTACCGAAAAGCGCAACATTTAACGAAATGCGAGCGTTGGAACATCGTAGAAACTTTATTTTCAAAACATTTTGAAAGGGAGAGTTTCAAGGTCTAAAATATTTTGATCAAGATTGTTTTGGTCCAAAAGGGGTATGAAGTTGGGATTTGACTCTCCTCTTGTCGAAGAAATTAAGCCTTTGCACTGCACAACTTTCACCACCATGTAAACCATCAGTAGCGCCCAAGTCTTAAGCGCGGTCAAAAATGGGGTGTCTACACAGGTTAAAGATAGCCGGTACATCCAAAATGTGAAACTCGATCTCTTGCTCAAATGGGCCCACCTGAACTCATACTTTCACTGTATCCATGACTTATGTGCTTATGTTATCAAATGCCCATATCACTTGGGTTGTGGGGATAAAGTCTGCCGATTTAAGGCTAATTGCGTAGGTAGTACAGGACAAATAGATATTAATGGAAGAACCGGCATCCACCAACACCACCGTTATCCATTTCTCCCTACATTCCACAGAGATGTATAGTAGCTTGTTGTGAGCCAAGCCTTCCGACGGCAGCTCTTTGTCCGAGAAAATGAGCATTGGCTTGGCACCACCCGGAAAGACCAAGCCCACAAGTTGCTCGAGCGTAGTATCAATAGACAATTTAGCCTTGTCCATTGCTGACAATACTGCATGTCAATGCACCCGTGAGGCCATGAGAAGTCCCAGATTGAGATATCAACTTGGATTTTCTTGAACTGCTTCAAAACTAACTCCTCCTCCAACTGCTTCTCCTTCTGTTTCTTAACCTTCCGGTCCTTTCCTAATGGGTCTGCTTAATCCGGATGTGGTGGCTTAAAGTACCATCCATTGTAGGTCAGATGGTCTATCTCCTCAACATACCATGTATTATCCAAGATGCAGTCCCCCCAGTCATCATCAGTATAGGCCAAATGCAAATCATTGTCATCGCACCACTCGCCATCAACTGCTGCCAAACAGTTGTCCGGCTCTACTTGGATCATTTTCACAACATAAGTGCCCCTCAGGGCGACACACGGTTGCAGTTTTCTGGCTGTTTTTATACAATTTTTTAATACACATTTTTTCATAAAAATCCAAAAAGTTAACCCAAACTTCCATATTTTTTTCTCAACTTTTTTAGTCCAAAAAAACAAAAAGTGCACTTTTTTATAACACCCCAAACCAGCCCTAAAATTTTCTTAATTCAATAGAGTTTATTGTAATTTACCCATATCTTTTTGTGTATAAAAATCACACACAAACCAAAGCTGAGAGACTCTCAAGGCACTACTGTCATAGAGAGAGAGAGAGAAGACATATCACGTCACCACTAAACTACCATGTGCACGTTAGAGAAGCGCGGTGATATCTTCTTCTTAACAATCACCGGCGACGACGAGCACCGCCTGAACCCTAGCCTCATCGAATCACTCCGCTCGGCTCTTCGCGAAGCCCGAGAACAGTCAACTCGCGGCTCGGCTCTCGTTACCACGGCTCGCGGCAAGTTCTTCTCCAACGGCTTCGATCTCGCTTGGGCTCAAACCGCCGGATCTCCCTCCGCCGCCCATGACCGCCTCCTCCACATGGTCGATCTCTTCAAGCCGGTGGTGGCCGACCTGATCTCCCTCCCGATGCCGACGATCGCATCTGTGACCGGCCACGCCGCCGCCGCCGGAATGATGCTGATGATGAGCCACGACTACGTGTTGATGAGGAGCGATAGAGGTGTGCTGTACATGAGCGAGCTGGATCTAGGGATGACGTTCCCGGACTACTTCACCGCGCTGGTGAGATCAAAAGTAGGATCTGCGGCGGCGCGTAGGGACGTGTTGTTGAAAGCGGCGAAGGTGAGGGCGGCGGAGGCGGTGGAGATGGGGATTGTGGACTCGGCGTATGATAGCGCGGAGGCGGCCGTGGAGGCTGCGGTGCGCCTAGGGGAGGAGTTGGGTAAAAGGAAGTGGGACGGCGAGGTGTATTCGGAAATAAGGAAAAGTTTGTATCCGGAGCTATGTGGCGTCCTGGGATTGGCTGCTAAGGCAAGGCTTTGAAATATGAAAAAAACAATAATAATAAAAATAAAAAAATAAAAAAAATAAAAAAAAAAGAAGAAGAAGGTGGTTTTTGTGTTTCGACCCCGCTACGTAGCTCGAATCCGTGGCTCCCCCCCCAAACAACCCCATTTTTTTGTTTTTTTTTTTTTTTTTTTTTTTTTTTTTTTTGCTAGAATTTGGAGGCTCGAATTTGGCTCAAATTCGGAGAAGAAGAAGAAGAAGAAAGAAGAAGAAGAAGAGAAGGAAGAAGGAGGAGGAGAAGGAGGAGGACTGGAGAGGGCATAATCACAGGGGGAGAAGGAGGCGGAGGCGGGGCCAGAGGCGACGGCGGTGGTGCTGCGATGACCGCCGGCGGCGAGGCGACGGCGGTGGTGATCTCCTCTCCTCCTCTCTCTTTCTCCCTCTCTCCTTCTCTTTCTTTTCTTCTCTCTTCTCTCTCTCTTTCCTCTTTCTCTTTTCTCCTTTCTCTCTGTCTCTGTCTTCGAATTCGAGCCATTTTTCGAGCCACAGATTCGAGCTACCAATCTTTTTCCTTTGTGTTTTATGAAATTGCTTCTGTTGTGAAATGAAATTGACATGTTGCTAGAAAGGGGTTGACTGTGGTCATTTTAAATTCGAACTTTGAGATAGTGGTGTTTTGGGAAGTTGGTAATTAGTGGCTTTTTTAACAAAAAATTAGGTTGCTTTAGGTAAAAAAAATTGATTTTTTTGGTTAAAAAAGTTAAAAAGTCAAAAACTGACTTTTTACCAATCTTTTCAAAATGTCCCATAATTTGAGAGGTTTGGGAGATTTATGGGTTATTTGGAATAAGTGTATTGTTTGATTTTTTATGAAAAAACGTTGAATATAGGTTGAGTTTGAAGTGATGTGGTAGAGAGATGATGTGATTTAAATGAGATAATGTGACTTAAATAAGATAATAACTTTTTAACTTTTTAAATTTTTTTATATTATGTTAAACTAGGCCTTATACGAGTTTTGATGATGATTCATGATGAAAATTAAAGTGATTTTTTTTTAATTTTTTATTATTATTAGTTTATTATAAAAAAAAGTTATGTGAAAAAAAATAAAGGTGATGTGATTTACATAAGTTAATAAAGAGTATTACTATTAGTACTATATTAATTATTTTGGACTTTTTATTTTTTAGGTTTTTTTTATTACAATAATACTTCAAATGAAATTATTAAAAAAGTCATCAATAATTTTGAAATATCTTATCTCACAATTAAGCTCATACACTCACTATATCATGAGTTAGGATTTATGAGAGTATCTACCTCCATCACTATCTATCCATCTTTTTTAAATTCTACTTTCAAAACCTACCGATTCTCAAAATCTTGAAAACTCTTTAGCGACAATATTCCGGCAATAGCGATGGCAATCACTTGGTTACCCACACTTCTCCGACAATAACAATGAGTGGAAGTTTTCTGGTAATCACAACTATAAGACGAGAGGAGTACAATAATAACAATTCGGAGGAGATTCATAACTTTGACGGTATTCTTAGCTCAAAGGAGATTAACCTTGTAAGGATAAGTTTTTTGAAAAAAATAATAAAATAACAAAAACTATTCCTCATTTTTTCAAGATTAAACTCCCGAATATATAATCAAAATTCGAGAATACAAGCTCAAGCATTGTTCATTTGTTCGGGAACAGGTATTCGAACATTTCTTATTTGTTCGGGAACAAATAATCGAAACTCGTAGAAACGGCAGAACTTACAAAAGGGAAACTTTGAACAATAGCAAAAAAATCCTATAATTTTTTTTTTTTTGTGGTCATGAACAAGTATGTGGAGATGAAATAATAATCACCTTCGTAGGTTTTGTTAGGATTTTTGGGAGAAAGACTTTTTGGAATGTGACGGTGTGCATTTAATTGAATGAGTAAAATGTTTTTACAAGAATAATTTTAATATTATTTGGGGGGAGAAAAGAAAAATTTTAAGAGTTTTAAATTTATAAGTGGGGTCCAAAGAAATGAAAATTCTAAAATAATTGATGAGATGTTAATAGCATTACTTTTAATAAATTAACTTTTCTTACCTTTCCGGAAGAGACCGTAATATTTTTATTTTATTATATTTTTTTTTTATAAAAAAATGAATACTCTATTTTAAAAATAATACTTGTCATTGTCATTTTGTAATACCTTCTTTTATTTAAATTATTTTTTTATTTTTATGTAAATATATTTAATATTGAGGAAATTATAAAAAAAAATTAAGATTTGATTTTTGTAACAAAATAAATTTTGAGTTTTTAATTTTGTCAATTTAAATTTTAAAGTTTTAATTTGTTTTCAAAATAGATATTTTAAACATTTTATGTATACTCACATTAGGTTTAATGGCTAAAATATTATTTTTTTTTTGTCGATTTTATTTAACAAAAATAGGCAAATATATTGGATTAAAAATAAATCAAAAATTTAGGATTTAAATTGATAAAATTAAAAATTCAGAATTCATATTGTCCCCAGGGTTAGACTTTGAAATTTTTTTTTATAATTGTCCCTTTAATATTTTTCATATTTAGTATTGCCAATATATTTTTAATGATGCTAATTTTATAAAAATTGAATTTATGTATTCAAAATTAAACAGGTGAGAGCCGATAAAACAAGTCAATGGACATTTTTGTTCTAATTTTTTTTTTTTCCCGTTTGATTGTAATTATTTATTTATCTTGTAAGTTTGGAATATTGTCAATTGATTTGTAAATACTCTTTGAAATATTACTAATTTGTGATTTTCCCAAAAAAATAGCAATAACAATGCAGGAATGGCTAGTAGTGGTTTGAAATTTGTTGTCTTTAACCATGGCAAAGTTCCAAGTTTTACATTCTCCTAAATTATACAACTCAACAATAAAATCAACCGAGGTTTTTTATGATATCGCCTCAAAACACCATTACTTAATGAATTGAAATCCTCTCCAGCCACTCTCTACTACCCTTCCTCTTTACAATGATTTAGATTCACCAAAAAGAAGATCCAACGGTCCAAATCACTTTATTAAAAAATAAAAAATTAAATTTATTTTTTTAATAGAGTGATCTGGATCATTGGATATAGAGTGATCTAGACCGTTGCAAGGAAGAAGGCTGGAGAGAGTGGCCAGAGAAGATCTCAATTCTAACTTAATGGCCTATCAACCGTCTCATACAATAGCAAACCATCTCTAGATAACGCCCCTCCCCTTAGAAAATGAACACCAAACTTTCATGAAGAAAATAGGAAGAAAGACCTCCAAAATCTAAACCAATATATCTTTTGGAACATCAATAGGGCTCAGCATTAACAAATCAACTCTAAGTTACAGATTATAAGGTGGCATATCAATTGAAAGGAATTAGAAGTTCATTTCTATACATGTAATTAGAATTCTTTATCAGATTTTACATAATTGAAACCCCCCCCCCCCCCAAAAAAAAAGAGAAAAAGAAGAAACAAATTCACATCATCAAAGGAATTATCTGAAAGCGACCAACAGAAAAAAGGACCTCATCGTAGTAGAAGCAGAGCTCTTTTTACAACACTGAAATGGAGAAAAATCAAATTAATCCAAATCTTTGGTATCTCACTCTTCATTCCGCTCTTTTTTCCAACGGAAATATTTCGAACGAATCATATCTTGTCAGGACTCCAAATAATGATCAAGCGTGTAGGCACGAATATCAGAAGGGCTTGTGCCAGGCCTGTACACATGCATAAAAAAATAAAAAATAAAAAAGTTTCAAAACTTAGAGAATGTGAATTTTTACATTTAATATAAATTCCACAATGGCTACAATTAAAAATCATTAGACTCGGATAGACTCAAAACAGCCTTTTGACACAACAATCTTGTAGTATTTTTATGTGCAATCTTCCCCTTAATAATCTATTTCTTTTGTATCGACCACCAACAGCCAAAAACAGTAAATATGAAGCATTTAACATCAAACCTGAAAAACCACACCTGTAATTTTATATAAATGGGCAAAGGAAGAAGGAATTGGAGTTATTGTCTCCCCTTTAACCTGTTAGCATATGTTTGTTTGGACGGATTGGATTAAGTTGGATTAGTATTCTCACGACTAATAATCCTAAGACTACGAATCCCTTTGGATTGTGTATCCTATCCATGTTTGGATTGAGTTAAGATTATAAGGAAGGATTAATAATCTAGACTTTGCCTTAGTCTTCCAATTTATACCCCACCCCCCTCTGTAGGATTGAATAGTCTATCATATGTGAGATACCATATCCGGATGAATTATTAATCAGTACTTCAATTGTTTAACCAAACATCGAATTAATAATTTTATTTGACTATTAGTCCAATCTCAAGGTCATGTCTATCCAAACAAATATGGCCGTAGTGTGAAAAAAGTAGAATGGATAAGGGATGGCAATGGCTTCACCGCACCATTCAATTCAAGGAAAATCTCACGTGTGCTAAATTTTTTATTTTATTTTTAAAGCTATAAGTAAAAATCCATCCTTTTAACAATGGATGGTGGTAACGTAAGCCGAAGGGAGGTTGATTCCTCATTTGCCATTCACAATGTTCACTTTCACCAGCTGTTTTTGCTTTTCTCCTACTTTGTCTGCTAAGCAAGTTTCTATTAACAACATCCACGGTATTCTCTCTACAAGTGAACTTGGAAAAGACAAATTGGGAGATGGAAATTGGAGAATGTAATATTCCATTGCATTTGCATTTGCATTTCCATCTATGTTCTATCAATCAGACTAAAATTTCAGCTAAAAAATTGTCTACTTTCCTGAGGTCATCTAGAGTTGAAAGTAGAATTTTTTTATAGACTTTATAATAGAAATTTCTCATATGTAAACTAAAAATACCTTTTATTGATGGTGCCATAGTGAAACTTGGGTCTTCCAACCTTTCTATCTTCAATGTACTGCAACCCCAACCCCCCCCAAAAAAAAAAAAAATGAAAGAACAATTGTTTTAGTTATGAGTGACAAACTGACAAGAAGTAATTAGATAAAATCTTATTGGTTAAACTTGCTCCTACCAAATTTAAGGTAACCAACATTGACGAAAATGCCAAAGAATCGAAAGGAATGTCATCGAGTGAAAAAAGCCGGCAATCTGATGATTCTGGGCCAGGTGAAAAGTGGGGCCTCTTCAACTTTGCCAAGAAAATTACATAGGTCTGCGTCAAAGAGGATACAAATTAATACACAAACATCTTTGGCAAGTGCAAAGGACATCAAAATTAATGTCAACGAACAGATATTTCTCCTCACTTGGCCTATCAAAGGGATGTCGAGTTGAGCAAAAGGTGACATCACTTCCACTTCTGCATTTGCTTCTTCCCATGTTTCTCTAATTGCCCCTTCAGCAGCAGACTCACCAAGCTCCATGTAACCAGCTGGAAGAGTCCTATGCACACAAGATTCAAAATTTGGATGAACATTGAAGATAGTGATACCTAGCTTAGAAACAGAAAGATGCAATGATTTTGCCCTCAACAAGTTTTATTTTTATTTTTATTTTAACAATTGATTGAATGAGTAACTTTGAAAAAAATATTATTTCCTTCTGAATAATAGTGCAGATCCATGTAAATCCATACCAAAGACCATAAGATGGTTGGATTTTCCGCTTGCAGAGTAAGATCTTGTTATCATGTTCAATGAGGCAACCTACAACCTGAAGCACCAGAATGGAACAAAAATCAGTTAAAATTCCATCACAATTCATAATGAAATATTTATCATGTATGCCATTGTAAGCACAACGACTAGCAAAATATTTTGATTTGTATTTCGAAGAGACTGAAGTCGTGATTTGGTTTTTGTTAGGGTATAACCAAGAATTCAAAAAAATTGACTCCAAAAAAAGGCATATTCCGACTTCAACAAAGACCAAGTTCGGGGACTAAGAGGTATAGGATGGGAAGGTGTAAAGCACCTATCATGCCGATCATAAGGATAGCCTCTACTCATCATTGTTGGCTCATTAATTAAATTTATTGAGCCTTGATGCATAAATGAAATCTATATACCACAAAATCAAAGACAACACGGGACAACGATATGAACACATCCTAGGAGGGATCACACCACAATTTTGAAAGCGTGAATTCAAGTCTAAGTGATAATGCCCCATGGACCCAACCCTCCAAAGGATTCACCCTAGAGTTTATCCAACAAAATTCAATTCACTTAATTTATGAAAAATAGAAATCCCAATTGCTTTTGAAATAGGTCCATAATTTTGAAAAATGAAGGTTGCATTTGATAGAGTTTTGTAAATATGATTTGAGAGTATGAGTTGTATTTTGAGTTTGTGAGTTGTAGAATTATGATTTAAGTGTAAAAAATTTGTTTGGTTATGATTTTTGAATAGAGTGTTGAATTGAGTTTTGAATTGTATGTGGAATTAAGTTTTGAAAGTTTGATATGACATGTGAAATAAGAAAATTTGTTTAGTAATGAGTTTTCAAAACTTAATTCAACCTATAATTGATAATCAAACACACAACTCATAACTTGATCTCCATATTTTTGATCTACAGTCATAACCAAACTATTTTTAAAATACTCAAATAAAAAAATGATTTTTTTTTCAATTAATTGTTTTTAAGTAATTTTTTTGAATAAATTTTTTTTTTTCAAATAACTTCTATGTCAATTATTTTATGTCAATTCATTTTTTAGGCCTGTATAAACATTAAAAATATTAAAATTATTTAGAAAATTAAAATATTAAAAATGTTAAAAATATTTAGAAAAATAAAATATTAAAAATATTCCGAAAATTAAAATATTAAGAATATTAAAAATATTCCGAAAATCAAAATATTTACAATTAAAATATTTTTATGAAAATTAAAATATTAAAAATATTCCTATAAAATAAAATAAAATATTTAAAATAAAAAAAATATTTAAAATAAAAATTAAATTATTTTTGAGTTTTGAAAAGAATTTTGAGTTGTGTTTGGTTATGAGTTTTGAAAAGTAATGATTATAATTCGAAATGAGTTTTGAGAAATGTGTGTAGAATTATGAATTGAAAACTGCAACCAAATACCACACTCCAATCAGTGGTGGAACTATGTTTTGAAATCTAAACCAAACAGAGCCGAAGAGTTTCCACATTCACTAAAAATTTAAGGGTCCTCAAAATCCTATCTTGCTTGGATAGCACTACCATCATTCAATCAACTTCTTATTCCATATATTCACAAACAAATCAAGTAATGCAAAATCTACAGTCCAAAAGAAAAAGTGAAAGAGATAATAAGAGGAATAAAGGAAGCAAAATAAAGTAAACCCAGTCACTACACTTTGCAAGGTTTCTAATCAATTGCTACCCAAAAAAATACCAAAACTTCAATTACATAGCTTCGGGGAGGGAGAGTACATTAATGGTGGTGGCAATATCTCAAAACTAAGCAAAGAGGAGGAGTTTCTTCCTCAAGCGCTATCCATGGTCCACATGTCACAACTCACAATAACTAAACAGACGATATTGGAATCAAAAAGACAATACGCATGCAAATGTAATCCTATTTGAGACTCTAAGATGCAAATCCAAGATAAACATAATAAACTATGTTAAACGGAAAACACAAAATAATATTATGCAACTATTATATGAAAACATGAATCACATGATGAAACACAACTCTACTCTAATACAAGAATTCGAAAATAAACTACATAGATAGACAAATACCAAGAAACCTACACCAAAACTTAAACGATGAATGGTATCATAACCATACCAAAAATATGATAAGATCGTGAAACTACTTCACATTATAACCCAATCAAAAGTAGGAATGGCAACAGGCCGGGAATTACACTCCTCGTCCCCGATCCCTGAAGGTATAAACCCATCATCCCCCCGCCCGCACCCCCTAACGGAGATCGGATTATCCCGACACCGAAAAATCCCCGTACAAAAACAACAAAATCATCAACAACAACATCATCCCCGATTTGTTTCATTTTCATCAACATCAACATCATCATCATCATCAACATCAACAACATCATCACCAAAATCAACATCAACAACCGAAATAACTACAATTACACATAAACAACAGATCAACTACAAAAAAAAAAAAAAATTGATAGAATAAGATACAGTACACAAAGGAGACATAGAGAGACACACACACATATACATGTACACATACACACATACATGAGATCTGACTCAGATCTGAGATCTCCGTGTCATCAAACAGATCTAAGATCTGTATATCTGAGTGTGTGTCACAAAGAGAGAGAGAGATCTGAGTAGGACGACGAAGGAGGGCGACGATGACTACAACGAACGATGGAAGAGGACGGCGAAGATGAGAGGGGACGGAGGAGGTGGCAGCGACAGGAAAAGAGAGGGTGGTGACGGAGGTGGAGTAAACTGCAGAGTTGACGGAGGTGAAGTGGCAGTGCGAGGTGGACGGCTACTCCGGCGTCGTAGACAGTGGCAGTGGTGCTAAGGAGGAGGAGAGGTGCGAGGTGGACGGTGACTTTGGCATCACGACAGTAGCAGTGGCGCAGAGGAGGAGGTGACGATGACTGCGTCGCTACGGTCCTGTGAAGAGAAAAGAGAGAGTAAGAGAGAGTAGAGGACGGGAGAGAGAGAGAGAGAAGGGGTATAATAGAGGGGTACATATATGAATGGATAGAGATATAATAATGATTTCAGTTTAGGGGAAATGGGGACGGGACCGGGGACGGGGACGGTACCGGGGACAGGGCCGGGCCGAGCCGGGCCGGGCTTGGGCAACTTATCATCTCCCCGGCCCAAAAATTATCGGGAATTCATTTTCGAATACCATCCCTGGCCCGTCGGGGGTATTTTTTGGGGGAAAAAAAATCGTTCTAATCAGGGTCGGGGGGGTTGGGTTCCCGTCGGGTCGGGTCGGGTAAAAAAATCGTTCTAATCAGGGTCGAGGGGGGTGGGTTCCCGTCGGGTCGGGTCGGGTTCAAATTGCCATCCCTAATCAAGAGTGAAGGGATTTTAATATGAAAAAGCCTTGTTACAACTTACAACCCAATAAAGAATGAAGATTATAACAAGACTTGAAAAAAGAATAAGAAAACCCTAGCTTTAGCATGTCTTTGTGTGTGTGTATAGATTAAAATATGCTTGTCTATGGTTTAATTTAACATAGACCAGGGAGTAGGGGGGTTCAAAAATTTGAACCATTCGAAGGCCCGACCCGAACCCGCACCCGCACAACCCAACCATGATACGGGCGGTTTTGCCAATCACGTGGTCGGCTGCGGTTTCATTTCATAAAATTTTTCCAGTTTTCAGTTGGATGTTGGGCTGAATACAACAAAATCCGTCTAACTCGACCCGACCGAATATGTATATGCATATATTTATACAGTTCAATAGTTGTGTCAGGTTTGTTTACCTAGATACTTTAAATGTGCAAGACCACCTAATTATGTTAATTTTAATTCTTTTCTTTCCAAAACAAATATATATCCTCCCAATGCACGAACTAACCCTTCCTATTAATAAATAAAGAAAAACAATGACTATTTCCAAGAGATGTGACTAAACAATAACTCTTTTGTCTCCTCACTCCTCAATCCTCACGTTTCGCTCTCTCAAACTTCTCATCTCTTCTCTCACACACACTCTTATCTCCATTTCCCTCTCTTTATATCTCTCTCTCACCCTTCCCAATAATAAATTAAAAGAAAAGGATGAATAAAAAATAAATAAATTAAAAGAAAAAACCCTTCCCAAGGAAATGATTTGACTACTCACTAACTCCTTTGTCTCCTCAATCCTTTTGTTTCTCTCTCCCCCTCAGACCTCTCGTCTTCCTCTCATCCACACTCTCTTTCTTTATATATCTCTGTCTCTCTCATCCTCTTTTGTTTCTCTTTTTCTGTCAAACCTTTCATTTCCTTCTCACTCTTACTCTAATCCATCTCTCTCTCCCTCCCTCTGGTATTCTTTTGCACTCTCTCAATATGTCACTCCTTTACTTTCCTCGTGACTAACACTTCTCACTCTGAGATCATGACGATATGACGGCTTGAGATTTTGGCGGAGGGAGTCAACGGTGCAAGACCATGGCGGTGAAACCCTGAAATTCTCTTCATCCCTTGAAAATCCTCTCCTCTTCCTCATATTCTCTGGTTTGAAATCTATTGTTCAAGCTTGATTATAGCACCGATCGAAGACTGACCGTAGTTTATGCTACCCAAATCAAATGGTTTCGAACAATGATTCAGTTGACATCGGATGAAATTTTTTCCAAACCAAAGTTGCTGAGTCGGGTGACGGTGAATGGCAAAACCGAGCCGATCCGACATGTGAACAGCCCTACCAGGGAGGTGTAGGTAATGAGAAGATACAGAAGATGTCAGAGAGCAAAGAGGGGCTGGTATGGTTAGTAGGGATGGGTCTGGGGTGGCAACAATTGGCGGGAAAGAGAGGTGGTGGCTAGAAATAAAGGTGAGAAAATTCACAAAATCCTTCTTCCATCAAGATTAGTAAACAGAGATGGACAAATGGTTTGAATTGGTGACAATTATTTGAAAAAATTAAAAACCCTGAGTTTAATTTGTTAAAAGGTTTGAATTTTGGGGTTTATATGGAATTTCCCATAAAATTAATGAAAATAAAATCTAAAGCTATTACGTGATTGTAGATAAGTGTCGCAGTGGCCCACATGTAATGTGAGTGAGGCCAACATCTTAATATTGGTAGCCACATCAAAGGAGGTCAATAGTGTCTACCAATTATCCCAGGCAAGGGGTGACTATCTAGGCATGATAAGAAAGTCTCAGGGACTAGGCATGGCAAGGATTCAACAAAAGGATGACAACTAATTATACACTGAAATACAAATAAAAAAGTTAACACTGCATACAAGAATCTTTCTTTTTTGGTGGCAACTTCACAATTCATGATTACAAAGTTACTCTCTTTTTGAACACCTGAAACTAGAATTTTTCATATTTCTTATTTTCTTCCCAACATTGCAAAGACCAACTACAACAACGAAACAATCAAAAAAAGATGCTATAATCCCAAATTTAGTTTTACATGTAGAACAATAATAGTAATAGTTCAAAATTAAATGTTCCGAAAAACAATACACTCAAAATAGAGTAGATACTGTTCAAATAATTGTATAAAAGACTCTGGACTCATTCCTTCTCAATAGAATTTCAAACACCATAATAGAGAAAACTATATGCAGGACAAGTCCCCAAAATTATTTGACGGACATATGCAATTCTGCAAATTGAATCACAAAGCTGAATTCAAGATGAACTTTTGTTGTATTATCTTACCATTTTGGGATTCTCATAGGCAATTCTCCCACAAAGTGTGCAAATAGGTCTCATCTTCTCCTCCCCATCAGGTATCTCATGCTTTGTGGGGCCACCACATAGCTGACAGAAGTTGATCTTCCGTGTTTTCCCCTGCATTTTGGTATATATTACTACAATTTCAAGAAACAAAGAGGAGAGGGTCTGGAGAAGGAAAAAGACGAAAACATGCACGCTGGCACACACATATTTGCACTTGTAAGTTCAAGCTTAAATTACAGTACGCATAAAATTGAGATTTTTTATTATTATTAATTAATTAATTGCATTATTAAAATCAGTCTTATTTTCTCTTATATTTGGAACTTAGAGGCGACAGTGGATTCTTATGCAGAGGTGCAAGGCTCGGTGGTGGTGTGGAATGTTGGGTTGCGACGTGAAGTGCAGGATTGGGAGGTTGGACAGTTGTTGGATCTGTTGGGTTTTTTGTATGGGCTTCGATTTGGCGGGTTTGGAGAGGACACTATGAGGTGGGAATGCCCGAAGTCCAAAGGGATTTTTTTGGTATCTTCTTTTTATCATAGGCTTCTGGGAGGGGATGAGTTGCCATTCCCATGGAAGAGTGTTTGGGTGGTGGGTTATCCGTCCAAAGTCGCTTTCTTTGTGTGGACAGCAACGTTCCGACGTATTTTGACGATTGATAACTTGATTCGTCGTGGGCATATTTTGGTCAATTGGTGTTGTTTGTGTTGTGGAGCTATGGAGACAGTGGACCATTTGCTTATTTTCTGTCCAGTTGTTTCACGCCTTTGGATGTCTATAGTTGCTATCTTCGGTTTGGCTTGGGTTCAACCGGGGACCGTAAGGGCGGTATTACAAAGTTGGGTTGGGGGAAGGGTTGGGAGGAGACGGCAGAAGGCTTGGTTATTGACTGGCCATTGTCTTATATGACTAGTTTGGTTGGAGCATAATAGGTGGGGGTTTTTTGGGGGAGATGCGTTCCACAGCCTGTTTGGAGTGGCGTTTGTTCATTGTGTTGCACAGTTGGATAACGTTGACAGTGGACCCAGATATTTTGTCTTTTGTTGATTTTGTAGAGGACTTGACTCGATAGGTCTTTTGTTTTTGCCTTGTTATTTAGTGCAGTTTCGGTTTCAGCAGTTTTCTGATTGTTAGGCTCGTTTTTGTAATTCTTTGCATCGTCTTGATACTTTCTCAATAAAGTGTGCTTATTTATCAAAAAAAAAATTAAATTCTACATATGAGGCACTTAGTTACACTTTAATTTGGCTTGGTTAAGAGACACAACTAGAGCCCAAATCTTTTCCCCCCAAAATTTATGCTTTATTTTGAATTAAAGCACTTAGGGAAGTGCTTGGAAATATCCTTTCCCGCCTTTTTCTAGCTTGGCAAGCCATGTGGCCTTTATACATGAGGGAGACATATTTTTTTATATGTAGCTTTCTTGGAAGACCTTGTTTCTCTCTCCCTCAATTATTCTATTGAAACTTAACATGTGGCACTTGAGGGAAAACTTGGCGACCAAGTGTGGCATCTCTTGAATGTGAATTTGGCCCCATTTGGGTTACATTATTTCACCCACCAAAAGGAGACAAAGGCAGCATCCCTGCTGCTATTTCTGTGAGAACTTCCTTGAGAACTACCTTATTTATTTTTTTTTTTTTTGGTCTCTCTTGCTTTTCCTTAACAAGGGCGACGCAGCCCTCTTCCCCTTCCCAAACCTGCCTAGCCGAGGGCCATATTGCTCCCCTCTCTTTCTTGGTAGCTCCCTCACATACGAGGAAAGAAGAAGGCCAAGACAGACCCCTTTTTCCCCTTGCTGACAGCTTTGGCCAAGAGCCATACTCCCCCTTTGTTGTGTTTTCTTCCACCTCATCCTCAAATGGTCCACAGACGAGGTCTACGAACTCAAACCCTTTCCAATACACTAGTCTTCTGTTACTTGGAAGCTCCTTGGAGGCTTAGAAGAGCCATGGAAAAAGCTTCAAGTCTCTTGGAACTTCAATGGAGCACCAGAAGCGCTACTCTTTCTGGGAAATTCTCATAGCTTCTCTTTCCCCCTCTTGGTTTTGGCAAACTTGGTAAGGCCTGAAAGAGATAGGATTCTGCTGGAAATTGTGTTCATACATATGGAAATTGTGTTCATGTATATAATATGATAGTGGTAGATAGTGGTAATATATAATATGTAAGTGGCATATAGTGGGTTATGATGATGTTTGTAATATCTCCTATATAAGGAGTGTCATTTGGTCTTGTAAGATAAGAAGTTTTGAATATAACAGAAATATATTCCTTCTTCCTCATATTCTTGGTTTTGGCAACCTTGGTAAGGCTTGAAAGAGATAGGATTCAATTTACTCTCTAAATATATTTGTATCCACGGTTAAGTTAACTTTAGAACGCTTGAGATGCATGTTTGGGTTTCTATAAAATGATTCAAGTACGTTGGCCATTTTGAAAAGCATATGCTTTGCAGAGCATGTCATAAGGATTCCACTTTCAGTAGTGTTCGAGTATGTTGGACATTTTGAAAAGCATGCCTAAATTGTTTTCTATGCTTTGAAATTAAGGATTCTGGTTTCAATAGTGTTTTGCTAGTGTGTTTACAAAGTACGTACGGGTTATTTAAGCATGCATTCCTCTCTTGAAAATGATTTATGAAAGTATGTGGTACATATGTAGTTTTCCCCAAACTCAGTGCAAGGATTTTCTGAAAATTAGGGCCTTTGTCAACCAAGGTGACCTATCTTGAAATTGAGACTTGAATGACATTTTTAGGATATAAAAATGTAGAAAGATGCAATGATTTTTAATATGCCTAAACTAGGTTATTCTTGAAGAAAACTATGAAATCGGGCTTTTTATGTACTAGTATTGAAAATCATGAAATGGGTAATTGGTATATTGAACATGTGAATATAATGGTAAGTGTGGGAATTGTAAAATGCTCTTCATTTAATTACCTTAATCTAGTTTGCTCCAATGGGGTTTAGAAATCCGGGGCTTCATAGTACAGGAATGATAAAAGTAACTAACAAAGAAAACTGATATTTTCTTGCATGTCTCCACCTGATCGAATAATACATAAATCAATTTGCTTCCCTTGCTATGACTAGTTAAGACTATTGCACTATGAATTGAGAGAATCCCAATGATTACGCAATCAAAAAATCTCCAATGTTGTTCATTACAAGTTATTTATCAAATAAGTAAATAAAAATTGTTCATTACAAGTCCAAAAAAATCAAGATCACACACACAACTCCACCATTAAATAAACATCAAGACACCTAAAACCCATTTCCTTCTCCATAAAACTTATTACATTATCATGAAAGAAATTATGCTCTATTCATACACTACATATCTCAAGATAACCCTTATTTCAATACAGTACCAACAACCACAACCAACCGAACTTCAACTCAAACTCGGTAAAGAAGCATTTATAAAGTATCACAATAACCCACAAATAATAATCTAATCATGAAATTCAGTTAAAGAAGAAACATCATCTTAGCACATTGTCAACAAAGTAGAGATTAATTATGACATACCCAAAAGAATGGAATAAACATCCAAGAAATCCAAACAAAACCCATAAAAATTAACATTAATGGCAATCAATAAAACTCACAGTTGACTGAAACGCAACAGAAGATGACGATGAAGAACTTGCATCTGGGTTTGACTCAGCACGAGTATGAGACACGCGAAATGATCGGAAATGACCCTTGCGAGCTGATGAAGTGGGCATCATAAGATTCATAACCTATTCAAATCTCACAAATCATTTAAACGTATTTGATACTGCATCCTTGTTTAACTTCACAGAGTTTTAATTCATTTCAAACTGCTAATTTTTACATCATCAATATGTTATGAAACTGGTGTCCACAAAGCAACATCACAGTAAATGAAGATAGAAGAAGTTGTGAATGAAAAGAGAGGTTTACTCCTCAATGCAATATTCTTTCACAATTACTAATGATGCTTGCTTTAATTTGATATATGACCACTCTATAACACAAAGTCACATACAATTTACAAATAACATAGTTTTTCTGACTATTCCTGAAGATACTGTAAAATTTTCACCAATTTTTTTGGTCAACGCTTTTCCTCCAAATTGTACCAGAACCTTCTAAATCAACAGGGTTCTCTAAAGCAGTTACTTCCTGGATCAAAGAGTACAGTGTTCCCTTATAAATTTGTACATAATTCTTCAACACAAAAATCAAGAACTGCAGCTCATTCTCAAGCTAACTAACATGATTAATTCAACATCGCACATCTCAGGTATGATAATTGTAAAAAAATGCATATACTCAAGTAGAAATTGGTATTCTCAATACTAATGCAACTGAAAGGTGGTCTTAAAAATATGTTTAGTGTGCATCTTGGAGCAACACCTAACAAGTAGTCACCAAATAGTCGCCGTAAACATATATCAAAATTTTTATGAGGATAATTGGATTATAAAGCCCAAAAAGAAAAAATATACACATCATAAACAAGCAAAAATAATAATATTACTATAAAATCATACCTTGGATGAATCTCTATAAGCACCTCCACCCTAAAAAAATGGGAAAAATTATAGCTTGTTCAGTTTAGACCACGACGATGACAGAAAGGAGCAGTACTGTAAAATCTATAGCATTTCACTCCATAAAATTTAGAATCAATAACAAATGAAAATTCAAGGGTCTGCTATATTTGGAGGGGGGAAAAAAAGAAAAGGTATAGAGTAATGGGTATGGTTATTTGGTGGCTAAAAAGCCCAAATCTTTCCAAGAATACTGCTAATTGTATCTCTGAAACCCAAAAAGAAATAGCATTTCACTCCATAAAACTAAGAACTAAGAATCAATAACAAATGAAAATTCATGGGTCTGCTATATTTAGGAAAAAAGATTAAATATATGGGTATATGTTTTTTGGTGGCTAAAAGCCCAAATCTTTCCAAGAAAACTGCTAATTATATCTCTGAAACACAAAAACAAATAGCATTTCACTCCATAAAACTTAGAATCAGTAACAAATGAAAATTCATAGGCCTGCTATATTCAATATCATACTCACAAGCATGTATTCATACATACATAGAGAGAGAGAGAGAGAGAGAGAGAGAGAGAGAGAGACTGACAGAATCCCAATTGGTGGGTCTACTGCGATCAAATATAGGAGTGGAATGAAAGAGGGCGGCCATGAGATTAAAAGGGTTAGAGTGAGAATTGAGTACTGCTGGTCTCACTGCCCTATTCATGCCCTCTCCAAATTCAACTTCGATGATGAGAGAGAGAGAGAGAGAGAGAGAGAGAGAGAGAGAGTCTCTGAATCCAGCGACCCAGAACCAGAAGGCGACAACCAAGAAGAATTAACGGCAAACAGTGTAGGGCGAGTCGACTCGGAAACTCGGAGGAGGACAGATGGAGATAAGGCTGTAAAACCAGCCAATCAGATCCAACAAAGTTGTTCCAACTTTTTTTGTTTTTGTTTTTGTTTTTGTTTTTGCTAAATTGAAAAATGAATTTCAGAATACATTCTGAGATTTAGCTTGATAATGTTTTTGGAATTTTTTACTAAACTCATGTAATTTTGTATCTAATTTACCAAATTCATGTTATTTTCAACATATTTATCAAATGTGTTTTTTTTTTTTAACAAAAAATAAAAAGATGCTTTGATGGGTCATCACTGCATCTGCAGGCCTAGACTTTGGACAGTCAATTACGACCTAATTTAACTCAATCCAAAAGAAAGATCCACCACCGAGACACCATCCAATCCAAAAGAAGATGGTGGGCATAACTTAACTTAGCCAAGTTTGGCTATAAAGAAAAAAGTGCACTTATTTCATCTTTTTATCTTTTTTGGGTCACATCAATCAACATCTCCTCTCTATTTTTTTTACACATAATACAAAAAAAATCAAAAAGTACACTTATTAGTCTTTCCAAACTAGGCCTTAATCTAATAGAAGGGATCCACCACCAATGGCAGAGCCATAGTGGGTCCAGGGGGTCACATGCCCTCCTGGGTTTTGGAATAAATTTTTTTTTTTTAAAAATAAAGATATTACGATAAGTTATATTATTATTTATGAAAAATTCAATACAATAGTGATGTCTATCATTATTGACATATAATTATAATTAATCTTAATGAAGATATACAATTTATTGAATTGTTAGTTACATTTGACATTTAGGGTTCATCCTCTATGTGTTTCTTTACTATTGATTCGCGATATCATATGTCAGTGATGACGTGGTATTATTCAGTGACGGAGCCAATAAATTAAATTAGATAGGGCACTTATTAATTATAATATTAAAAATTTTTACAAAAATATTTCACATAAATTTTTACGATTGACTTTAAGAAATATATATATATATATATTATTTGTAATTACTATATCATAGACAATATAAAAAAAAAAAATCATAGATGTAAGTTTTAAATAATTATACAATGATAAAGTAATTTTTTATACAAATTTTCAATAAAAATTCAATATAATAGTAATACCACGTCATCATTGACATATGATATCACCAACCAATAATAAAGAAACACATATATGATGAACCTCACATGTCAAATGTAACTAACAATTTTTTAGTAATAATAGACATCACCATTATATTGCCTCTGTTTGGCAAGTTAGTTTATGGGCTTTTTGACTATTTTAGCCACAAAAGGCAAAATAGGTTATTTTAGCCACAACAAACAAAACATCACATCCAACCTATAATTATTACTCTTCTCTCACACACTCTTCTCTCACAAAAAAAGTCAGAAAAAGCCAAAAAGTCCTTCCCAAACCAAATTTTTTAGCCCAGGCTAAAATAGCCAAAAAAGTCAAAACGCCAAAAAGCCAACTCACTTTCCAAACGAAGCCTGAAATTTTCATAGATAATAATATGACTTATTGTAATATCTTCAATAAAAAAAAATAACCATTATTATTCTTATAATTTTAAAAATGTCATTGATATTTCACTCTAAATAATATTTTATAATTTTTTTATTTAAAATATTTTATTTATGTTTGTAAAAAAATAAAATAAAATAAATTCCAAAACCCAGGGGGCACATGACCCCCTGGACCACAATGATAAAGTAATTTTTTATACAAAATTTCAATAAAAATTCAATATAATAGTAATACCACGTCATCATTGACATATGATATCACCAATCAATAATAAAGAAACACGTATATGATGAACCTCACATGTCAAATGTAATTAACAATTTTAATAAATTCCAAATTTTAGTAATAATAGACATCACCATTATATTGTCTTTGTTTGGCAAGTTATAGTTTATGGGCTTTTTTGACTATTTTAGCCACAAAAGGCAAAATAGGTTATTTTAGCTACAACAAACAAAACATCACATTCAACCTATAATTATTACACTCTTCTCTCACACACTCTTCTCTCACAAAAAAGTCAGAAAAAGCCAAAAAGTTCTTCCCAAACCAAATTTTTTAGCCCAGGCTAAAATAGTCAAAAAAAACAAAAAGCCAAAAAGCCAACCCACTTCCCAAACGAAGCCTGAAATTTTCATAATATTTTATAATTTTTTTATATTAAAACACCTTTAATTACACACACCATCTCTCTCTTCTCTCGAACCCTAATTTCAATTCCTTTCAATATTCTTACCCCTCGTAAAGGTAATTCCTTCACTTCTAATTTGAAAATTCCTGCGTATATTATTTGATTTGAAAGTGTTTATCAATCAATTTGATTCTAATTTAGGTACACAATTGTTGTTCTGCTTTTACACTTTGTATTCACGTAATCATATTAATGGGATTTGTTTGACTTTGCTTGTACTATATATATATATATATATATATATCTTGCAATTAATCGTAAAATTTATATGAAATATTTTTGTAAAAAATTTGAACGTTATAACTAATAAATGTCCCATCTGATTTAATTTATTGGCTCTGCCATTGTCTACCACCGAGATACCATCCAATCCAAAAGAAGGTGGTGGGCCTAATTTAACCCAATCCAAAAGAATGGACCCACCATCGAGACACCAAATGCTATGCCATAGATGAGCCCAAATTCTAAAAGAAAGAACTCACCATCGAGACACCAAACACTACGCAACAAACGAGCCCAGATTTTGAGGGGAGTATAGATGAAGTCTCCGAAAAGAGCTAGCTGCAAAGTATGAGAATTCAAAATTCACTCCTCTTAAGAATCAAACTTGGATACTCCTCTTAAGAATCAAACTTGGATCACACCTGTAGAGAATAATGCCTTCCCTACTAGGCCACACCCTAATAGTTATCAAATGTTATTTTGAAATCATGTTTTGATATCACAAATTTAATAGCACAAAAAAAAAAAAAAAATTTAAAATAAAAGTCGTGTATGAAAAATTCGAAAGTTTTAAGCGCTCAAATAAATTACCATTTATGTCAAAACATCAACATCCAATGTTAGTTTCCTATTTATGTGAAACTTAAAGCTCATATGTTGTTTTCCTATTTGTCAATTATAAAATCGTAGTTTACAAAATTCAACGTTGAGCGGCGGGTACTAAGCAGCTTGTTTGATTTTGATTTTTTGAAAATAGTTTTTAAAAAATTTTATTTTTTTATTTTTCACATTTTAATATTTTTAATGAATTTTTTTAATATTTTAAGTAAATTTTTTTTTTTAATTTTTAGACATACATAACATAAATACGCTTAAAAAATATAATATTTGTGAAAAAAATCTTTAAAAAATACACTAAATACCAAAAAAATATAAAAAATGAAAATTCATTATATTTTTCTTATTTTTGTGTATTTATTAAATTTTTAAAATATTTTTTCACGAATATTTTACTATTTACATACATTTAAGTAAGGTGCATCTAAAAAAATATAAAAAAAATTACTTAAAATTTACAAAATATTCACTAAAAACAAAAAAATACGAAAAATAAAAAACTCAATTTTCAGAAAACTGAAACTAAAGACACTGAATTTTACGCCAAAAATCTTCCATGTCCTATTGACGTTATTTCAAACACTTATTAGCATCAAACACATATTGGTGGATAGCAATACACAACTGTAGAGGGTCAAAAATTAAAATTGAAATTAAGTATGGATCTAAGTGCGGAGGTCACCCCGGTTAGGCGACCAAGAATAATTAAAGAAGTATAGGCCAAAACCTAAGAGAAGTGGGCCAACAGTAAGCGACCAAGAATAATTAAAGAAGTATAGGCCAAAACCCAAGAGAAGTGGGCCAACAGTGGGCCGGAGTAAGTCCAACCTGCCAAGGGTCCAAACGAACTCCATGAAAAAAAAAAAAACGTCTAAGTCAATTGTGGAGGCAACACTGGCAGCTGGTCAATTTGCAGAGACACTTTGTCCCAACGCCGCCATTCCTAGTATTCTCGGCGCTGCCATCTCAAGTATTGCTGATGCCGCCATTTGAAGTTATTGAGGGAAAGAGAAAACTTGAGCAATTAAGTTGCAGAGACAACACTTGCAACGACCAAATTGTAGAGGTACTTTGTCTACGCCGCCATCTCTAATATTGTCAGCGTCGCTATTTGAACTTGCTACGGGAAACAGCCATCGTAGTAACTATAATCACTACAATTAACTTGCGGAAGGAATGCCCCACCAAGGTGATAGCAACCTTTGGGAGATGCTTCCCCTCTATAAGTAGAAACTAATGCTTGGTGCTGATAGTAGGCCCCAAGGCATTACTAGACCGTGCTAATAGCAGGCCATGAAGCTCACTACCTTGGCGCTGATAGCAGGCCCTAAAGTTTACTGGTTGGAGCTGATAGTAGGGCCAGAGATATGAATGTACCGTGGTAACCCTATGAAGATGGGAACAAGACAACTCGAGAGTGAGGGGCTTCCTTTTCTATTACCTAGGTCATTGATCTGCCTTGGTTGCACAGGTAGGACGAAGGAAGCCTCCTTGGACTTGGTATTAAGGCATAGCATGGCTGATAGCAGGCTTAGCTGTGGTTTTCACCCTGGGAAGCTGTGGAGTTTGTGGTTAGGTGGCTCAGGATGGAGGCTTCGTTGAGGTAAACATGAAACATGGCTAATAGTAGGCTATGAAGTCTTAAGAATGTATGTCTAAACTAAACTGAATTGAGAAGGCAAGTGCAATAGTAAATATTACCGCTGCAAGTGCACTTGTTGAGGTTCAAGCTGAGGAGGCAAGTTACTACGGCAAACACTCCCGCCACAAGTGCTCTTGATGAGGCATCTATGCCAAACAGATAGTACATAGTACATGCAAAGGGACACGTTGCACCTTTAGCTTAGTGGTCCAATGTAGAATATTCCATGTGATTCTTAGGGACACATTTCCTTACTTTATTTGGCTACTTGGTATCCTTCGATGCCAAGGAACATCCTATAAATAGGACCTATTTCCCAAGTCCAATAAAAGGATTTTTGGAGATTTGGGGAGATGTTGCCAATTTGTGCATTGCTATTCTTTTCTCCTTAAACCACTTACTCTACCCTTACCCAACTGCTCATTCTCCAACTTTCCCAGATTTTGTTGATTCATTTCTTCAGCGAGCAAGTCCAAATCTGTTGTACCACTGATATAGTTTTGCCTCTCTAATTACTCTTATAGACACCCCATTTTGACCAGCCCTAAGACTTGGGCGTTTTCGGTTGATTACCTGATGATGACAATCAGAATGTGTTTCTCATAGAATTCTTAGTAAAAGAGATAGAATTTGAACTTTAATCCCAACCTTTACACATTTTTTTTGCCAAACTATTTTAGACCTTAAAACCCTCTTTTCAAAATATTTTCTCAAATGTTTTTACGATATTCCGAAACTCCCATTTCAATTAAAATATTGCACTTTTTAGTAAACCGAGTAAGGATAAAGTGGAAACAAATGGAAGGAAGGTGAACTCTTTGAAAATATTTTAAAAATATCTTCTTTATAGGTTTGGATTTGAAGGAAACAGGAGGGGATGGAAGAAAACTAATTGAGGAAAAAAATAAACATCAAATCATTAAGAAAGAAATGAACAGCTTTTACTAAATTAGGCATATCTCTTTGTACATTTGGTATTTAGATGTGAGGCCACCACCATTAGAAATTAAACTTCTGGGGCTTCAATTTAGACTTAAGAACCACCTGAAACCAAGTCCGGATAAGGGAGATATGCCCATTTGAAGTTAGACTTAAGGGCTGACCCAAGGGAAATGAACAACCTTCACTAAATTAGGCATATATCTTTGTACACTTAGACTTTAAATGTGAGGCCATGACTATTGGAAAGTAGACTTCTGGGGCTTGAATTTAGACCCAAGAACCACCTAAAACTAAGTCCGGATAAAGGAGATATACCCATTTGAAGTTGAGTTTAAGAGTAGATTTTGTTGACCTGGCCCAAGGAAAATGAACAACTTTCACTAAATTAGGCATAACTCTTTGTACACTTGGAATTTAAATATGAGGCCACCACCATTGGAAAGTAGACTTCTAGGGCTTCAATTTAGATCCAAGAATCACCTAAAACCAAGTCCGGATAAGGGAGATATGCCCATTTGAAGTTGGGCTTAATAACAGATTTTGTTGACTTGGCCCAAAACAGTAGCAGCCTTGTTTTTCTTGGTTTTGGTTCGGTTGGGACACCCTATTTGCCTATTTTCTGATCCATTCAAGTGCACCCACTCATCCTCCATTATACCTAATCATCCCTCCACTACTACAAAAACAGATAAAGATCACACTTTTTTTGTGTGATTTATGTTATTTAATCACACTTTTTAAGTTTTATCAAAGTGTGATCTTTGGGAGTGTGATTAAAAAGGATCATTTTTAATCACATGTTTTAAGTGTGATTAATAACATTTAGATTACATATTTTAAATGTGATCAATAACATTTAAATCACATCTTTTAAGTAGAATTAATAACTAATAAAACCAGTAATAATAAACATTTAGATCACATCTTTTAAGTGTGATTAATAATTAATAAAACTTGTGATAATAAATATTTAGATCACAGATTTAAGTGTGATTAATATCTAATAAAACATGTGATTAATAATGAGATAAGATCACACGTTATATGCATTTCTCATCACAGTTAATGCGTATGATAAAAAAAAAGTTCAACATATTTGAAGAATAATCAATATTATTTTTGTACGCGCATTTGAAAAATATAATATACACTATATACTATACTTTGAATCACAACCACACATTGAATGGAATAACGTTATATATTTCATAAATGAAAGTTAAATATGTTCAAAAATATATACAAAAGAATTAAACAAAAAATTTTAAATTGTGCTTACATATATTAAAAAATGAAAAAACTTGAAAAACTAAGTTCTTGAATTCTTTGATCATATTTTGCATCTCTTTAAAAAATTTCTGACCTGAAAAATGAAAACACAAATTAATTCAAAAACTGCTAGAAGTATATGAATAAACTAACTATTTGTAGAGATTGTTCTAGTCTTACAAAAGACAGCACTTAGTAATTTATGAATAATTATTAACCTTGAATCATTTTTGTTTTGATCAGCAAAACAACAAATATTTAATTAAAAATTGCAATAATAGCACACATATAACTACCCTTCTGCTACCATCATTTGATATCTTAATTATCTTTTCAACTTCTTCAACTCTAAAATAGAATTGGAACTGAAGAAGAGTTATTAAAATGTCAACTATGCTAAGAGTACAAACCTGTTAGTCTTAACAGCATCAAATTTAGTCATCTAATCAAAGAGACCAGGTTGCAATCTCTAGATTTTACACAAATGGAAGGAGAGCGTCTAATGCTCATCATTTGATATCTTAATTATCTTTTCAACCTCTTCAACTCTAAAATAGTATTGGAACTGAAGAAGAGTTATTAAAATGTCAACTATGCTAAGAGTACAAACCTGTTAGTCTTAACAGCATCAAATTTAGTCATCTAATCAAAGAGACCAGGTTGCAATCTCTAGATTTTACACAAATGGAAGGAGAGCGTCTAATGCTTAAATCAACATTATGATTGAATAAGTATTCCATTCTAGTTCACGAAACATAGCATAAAGGCTTAAATCTCCACAGAAAGTGCCTACAAGCAACAGTAAGAGAAACGAAGAGTGGGAGAGTGTTTACTTGATAATTGCCAAATTAGGAAACTTACAAAGTCTAATTCAGTTAAAACCAAAAGAAACTTTTGTATCTCAAAAACAGAATCATAGTCAAATAGAACAAAACGCTTTGATCAAAATATACAGATTTATGTATGTTAAATCACCGAATATCAATTAAAACAATAACAAATCAAATGCGAGAAATAAAATAATTGAATCAAATTTATGAGATAGAGATAAGAATTCGTACTGGGTTAGAGTACAAAGTTGACGCCATTAACTTAGTCTAGTTCGGAACAATTTTGAGGACCAATTCAGTTCCGATCAAATCACCTACATGCTTTGTAGATTCAGCCCTGTAAATAGATTATTCGAATCACAAGAAGAAAGAATTTCATAGGTTCAATCTATATTTTAAGTGGATTCCACTCTCACCCTATGTGAGAGATTAAGGTCCAGTTCTATGATTAAATATTTTATCTTCAAAATTGAATTGTAGGATCAACGACTTCCAACCGAGAAAGAAAACTACTCTTAAAACCATTTTTTCAATTAAACAAGTCGTCCATCTAGATATAACTACAAAAATATTTGATGCACAATTAAAACATAATTCATTAAACAATTATGTTTGTCTATAAGGATAATAAGATCAAAGCATAAAGGACTAACCTTCTCAGATCAAGCAACCTTGGGTGGCCATATGACCCATTCCATCGATTCTTGCTTCAAGCTCTGCTGCAAACAAACAAACAAACAAACAATAATTAGGTGCATGTGTTTCTTAGTATATTTTGTCACATGGATGAGAATCTTCACGAGTTCATCTTGTATGCAGATGAACAAATGGTAATGATAATGAAGACCACAAGGGCAAGGTCAGAAAAAATGTATTCATGTTTTGGCTCATAACTGCATACACAATAGCTAATCATTAAAGAAATAGTATGCAGTCAAATAAAAAAATCAAAAGTATTAAACAAATTCATTGACTTACGACTTCTTCTAAGCAATCAACTAAGTATTTTGAAAAGCACCCAAAACGCAAGAAAAATATTACCAGGTCAATACTGAGACATTCTCAAGAGTTCAATGAAGTCACTTCTTGCAAAATTAGAGAGAATTGGATTTCAATTATAGACTTCAAAATGCTTATACAATGGCCAAACGAGTACTTTAACAATGTAAAGTATCCAAAGTGTAATTTAAATGCCCAACATGATTCAAATTTATCGAAGGAGACAATAATGTCCATCAACTAATTCCAAATAAGTTTTATATTGTTTGCAACACAAACTTGACTATTTTTTTAATGGAATTTTTTTTTTAAAATGTACAAATAATTTAAAACAAGCATAAGTCAACAACTGATAAATGTTGAACTTCAGCATAAATTTAAACAAAAAAAAAAATGAACATAAACCTATAGAACCTATTCTAATTAGGAGAGACCTTTTTTTGCAAAGTGGCCTTTCTTAAAATATTGATTAGATGCTTTTCAAAATATGTGGTCTGCTTTTTCAATGTGGACTGGACATTCTAAAAAAAATAGACAATAAAAAATGTAAAGAGTTACTACCTAATGCAAACACTTATACACAAAAACCACCAAGACTTTTGCAAGCACTACTAAGTAGTTGTTATCAGCAAGCTACAACCTGTTCCTCTACAGCTGTTGATTTCGTAGCTCCTTTGATTCTTGTCCCTATACTCAAAGATTGTTATCACATAATATCAACAATTCTTTTGATGAGTATTGAAAGGAATTATGAGACGGTTGAAGTACAATTTCAATGGATTGAAAAGAATTGGCCAAGTTAAAAAATTCTAATGCTATAGAAACTCTATTTGTATGTATTTCTTGCTTCTAATATATCAAATAGATATCAAATACCCCAAATATCATAGAATTCATCATCACAAAATCAAAATTTATAACATTCTAAAGCATTTTAATAATGATCAATAAATCTAATAAAAAAAATAATGGTCAGCAAATTTATTAAGTAATCCCAACTGTGATGTATAGTTTTTGCTTGGTATTGTTCAGGGTTCGCCCCTTATGGTGTTGTTTGGTCTATAAAGTATTGTACTCATCAACAAATAGAACGACCACATTAAAGTTAACGCACTAACCTGTCAACAAAAGAATAAGCTTGTGCTTCAAACAAAACCTTGCCCACTATAGTCTAACTTGTCAAGGGTATTTTTTAATTTTAAAGATGTGATTTCTACTAGTTGTAAGAATTCACTCAACTGCTATACCTTCTGAAATCAACCCACCTTGGATTTTGTATAGATTTTGAAACTCTCAAACTCACAAATTCACAATGCTGGCCTGATTAAAAACAATCCACCTCTGTTTTTTTATATGGGTTTTGCATCTCCCTACCTCACAAATCTTGAAATCTTCTTGACTATATAAGATTTTAATGACAGCCCATCTCTAATTTTGATGTGGTTTTGTTCCCTCAATCTCACACTTGTTAATTTCTTACCCTAAACTACAAATTTTCACTTCCCAGATCTTCTAATGACAAAATACTCAAAATCTTTATTGGTAGAATTTCACCAACACCAAATCTGTTTTTTGATTTTTCACTTAGATTTGCTAACCCACCAATCTCAGATTTTCAATTTTCTTGTTGTAAACTTAAATTCAGGAAAGGATGAATAGATAGTCTTTGGGCACATTGAACACAAATAATACAATAAAAAAATTCAAAAAATAGTCTTTAACTATGTAATCTTCGCCTGAGTTTGTTCATTTACCCAACAAGAAGTTCGAAGAAACACATACAAAGAAAATTCAAAGTACCAACCTTTACTTGTCAAGTTCGTATGAGACAAAACTCAATAAAACCCACCAAAGATGTTGATTTTTAGAGTCGGCATTGATAGTTGGAAAGTATCATATGAAAGCTAGTGAGAGAGAATAATGAGAAATGCATGCAGGTGAGAAAGAGAGTGAAACAAAAATCTAATGAAGAGTAATCATAGAAAGAGTTCACATATGAAATTGATGAGTGTTTGTTAGTGTTAAATTGGGAATTCTAGAAAAACATAGACATTGATGGATAATGGGTTACAGATGAAATTGAGTTGGGTACCAAAGCATTTAACTCAAATTCCAATGCTAATACCTATATCTACATTCACATATATAAAAAACGAGTATGGTGAGAATCGATTGAATTACCTGTAGCTCTCTAGGGTTTGGTCGTCCTTCAAGATCTGCCATCGCCGGCACTAAGGTGGTGGTTCTGTGGCAGAAGGAGGTGCTGCGCGATGGGCAGCGGTGGAGCGATGATGGCAGATCCAACATTGATGGTGATTGTTGTTGTTGGAGACGAGAGTTTCAACGCTAGGGTTTCTACAGGGGAGAGAAAGATAATAAAACCCTAGTTATTGCTAAGTGAGTGGTGAGAAGGGGAGAGGGGAAGACGGGGAAAGAGAGGGTTTGATTTGTTTGTGTTTCCATTGTGATACTATATATATATATAAATAAATATAATCACACTTAATTAAAAATATATATAATCACACTTAATTAAAGAGTGAAATAAAAAATAAATATTATCACACTTAATCAAATTAAGTGTGATTAAAATATCAATCTAATTTTTTTATCACACGTCTAATAAAAGTGAGATATTTTCATTTTCTAAAGTGTGATCTTTAACTGTTTTTGTAGTAGTGCTCATTGTCAAAAAGAGGTTTTGTTTGAATCCATAAAGGAGTATCCCATGCAACCACCTTGAAAATTTGCTCTTCTATTACATTCTTGTCTCCCACCTTGTCTCGCACCTTCTTTTGACCTTTACTCTCCCTCATTGTCTATATAGAATGATCATATTGTAAGAGAGAGAGGACCACGAAATTGAAGAGAAAATAATGAGAAAATGGTGAAAAAAGAGAGAAAAATTGAGTTTTTGAGCAAAAAATATTCATAACTTCCAAATACACCCCATACCTTCCATAGCTACTGAAATTCCTCATTTCCATACACCAAAACCACTCCAAAAATTCTGATATAGGCAAAGATCAATTGCCATGATCATAAGAAATAGTGTTTAGTTGTTGAAAGTGATAAAAAATAAGAGAGGTAGCCACTTTTCCACCATACATACCTAGAGTTCCATTCTAGTTTTAAATTGAGGATTGAGAATACACTTCCTAAACTTAAGGGTAATCAAAAGGAAGTTTGGAAATCAAAAAGTTCAATCTTTCTTTGGAAGGTGAATTTCTAGTCTTTCATTTTCTTATATTTTTTATCTCATATTTATTTTCTTACTTCTTATTTCATAGTGTTTTGTTATAATCCAAGTGGTTTGTTTATCTCATATTTATTTTCTTACTTTATATTTCATAGTGTGTTGTTGTAATCTAAGTGGTTTGTTTAGCTTATAATTATTTATTTATTTATTTTTATTCGCTTGCTTTAATTTCATATCAGTTTTGTTGTAATCTTGCATGTTTTATCATATATTTGCTTTCTTGTTTTAGGTTCATTTTAGTTTTGTTGTAAGTTTGAATTTTTTTTTTTAAATTTTTTTTTGTTTTCTTATTTTTAATCTAACCGTTAGTGGTTAGTTGAGCTATCTACATATTTCTTGTGTTGTTCCTATTCTTGGTTTCGCAATAAGACAGGTTTTGCTAGGCCTAGTTGGTTGGCCGGCCGGCCTATTTGGCTCGTCGGTTAGCTTCTTTTGGACAAGATGGCGTAATCTCCCAATGTTGACCAATTTCCGCCAACGATTCCATGGAACATGAAGCTTTTATTTTATTTATTTTTATTATGAGTGTTTTGCGAAGTTTTTATTTGTGTAATATTCTCATCATCCCTCTCTAATTTGATTTGTAATTATTTTTTCAAGTGTTGTAATAATTCTCCATCCCCACTTCTTATCTATCCCATTCTTTAATCGTTTTCCACAACTGTGCATATGTATAATACTTACATGTCATCTATGCTTTTATATACATGATTCATGCCTAGATCCGACTAAATTTGCGTCTTTGTGCTTTAATTGATTATTACATGATTTTATGCGCTATCGCATGTTTTGCAATGTTTCACATGTCATGTTTTAGAAGCCGAATCTTTAGAAGCATTCTTGTGTATGTATTGCAGTAGGATTTTGTATATAGGATCATGCATATTTTACTAACTTTGTTTTGTAGCTGTTTGCGGGACGTCGGTAAATATGTAAGTTGTTATGTTTTAGCATCCCGCTTGTACATAATTTTTTTTATTATGTTTAGCATCTTACCATGTGACTATTTGCTTATGTGATATAATTGTATGAATGCAAGTGGATGGAGGTTGTGTCGCTTAATTTGTAATGATGCTGATTTTCATGTTTGTAAACTCAATTTATTTGGATTGTACATCTTCAAAACTCTTTCAAAACTACATGAAATCAAGTTGTTCTAAAGTTGGTGACATAGTCTATACTTGTATGCTTCACATAGTAAATTTTAGGATTTATTAAATAATCAAAACATGAACATATAAAGAAAATAAAATTCATATCATGACTAGTAAAGGCCGATCTTTTGATCGGGTGAGCGGGGGTGCTCAATTAATGACCTTCCCCTCTCATACCTAAGGTTCCAAACTGAGACAACTTTGGTTATAACGAACAGTGGTCTTGGCACAAGTCATGGGTGTAAATATAAGGTAAACGCAGCAGGAGGAAAAATTATGGTCATACTTTTTTCTGTAGAGTCTGAATTGAAGGATCTCGTGGGTAAATCACGTGCTTCCTGAATCTGATCAATCAACCCCGCAATGGAGTGATATTACAGAATGAATATCACCCACACAAGTCATAGTGTAAAATGGCTCTTGATCGTTGTATTTTGAGAGAGAGTCAGTATATGGGAAAAACATACGACATACGTTGTTTTTCTCTTAATCACCCATATCCCATATTATATCAGATATGTTGGATAATAATAAATCTATCCATATCAGTTATATCAGATATATAAGATATCCATATCAACTATGCATATCAGTTGATATGATAGATATAGATATCCTGAGTGGTTATCCAAATAGGTTTTGAATTCAAATTCAAACTTATTTGGATAAGGTTCAAAAGGTTCAAAAAAAGGTCATGCCACATGGGTGCCCAATTTCTAATATCTCCCACTCACATATGAGTTAGCATGACACTGCCACATCTCTATCTCAATCTCCTCAAAAAATGAACAATCTCATACTAGCCAATGCACCGTGCGACTGCTGAGAACACCTGCATGTGGGAGCTCTATACTAGAAACTCAAAATGAGCCAGCATAGAGACATCAACCCAAAAAGAACAAAAGTAGTGTCTCATATACCCTAGACCCATCTAATTACACCGGTCCAAAAAACATCTCTAATCTCTCAAAAAGAGCATGTTTGACCCTCTCAATCTTGTAATATATTCACACTCAATCTGCCTCTCATACAGAGCGTTGTGAGTTGCCGGCAGTGAATATACAACAGTGGTGTAATACTAGATGATCTTCCCTTTGCCCTCATGCCATTTATTTTAGGATTGGCCGTTTTCCCAATGATGTCCCTTAAGGCCGAATCATACATGACCGCAGGCAACATACCAAAGCAGCAGAACATCAACCCCTTACCTTATGACATAGTCAAAAGTCACAAAAGGGTACATAAATGAAAGTCATATCAATAATGACACGTAAGACTCACACGGTGAGGAAACAGGGATCCATTCTCTCACCTCATTACTCAGTCGCCAAGCACATATAGTATAAATACATGTTACGGTGGAGTAACTCTTCCAAAAAAGTGACGTCATCCTCGATGCACCGTACAAATATTAGTCTAGTCGTTTTCTAGCGCCTAACCCGAATTCTCTATTTGCTCGCCTTCTAGGCGCCAAATGAGATCTCGCATTTGGCTAATCATAACAGGCACAACATGGAAAGTGGGTACTAATATCCATGTTTGATCCTTAACACGACCTCATCTTGGTTGTAACCAAGGCGACATATATAGTGGATTATTTAAGCCTCTCTTGGCTCCAAATAAAAATAAACCACTAATCTCATCCTTGCTCGCTCCCAAGCGCCAAGGGCGATTGCTCGTGTGAGTGAGCCAATCTTGCCTGCTGACATCATCATCTGCTAATCATGATAACACAAACCATAATAGTGTCAACATCCCATTATCTCACAACAAATAAGTGATCGATCTAAAAAAAAGACCACAACTTGCGCAATTCTAGATTCCAAACATAAGCCTTATCAGCACGTCTTGCAAAAAGCATATACAACGGAATCCTCCATGTGCGCCTCACATGAAGTGATTCAAGATCACTACCTCTTGCACAATAACCTCTCTAAAGATATTTTGGTGACCAATTTGCGTTCATTCTTGATGTGTCCAACTAGCGCATTGAATCTTACAAGGAGCAAATTAATATGCTACTAGTAAAGCATTTTATCCACAGTCTAATGAGCAAGGTCAATGTCTAAACAACTCAGTTGACCATTTACCAAAGATAACACTTATCATGCCGACCGACCACTGGCTTGCGGCAAGTGAGAGTTGACTCACTTTCGGTGTAGACATGATGCCGCCCAGCCAACAGTTCTGTCAATGACTGGAACACTCAATTCCATAATATTCGGCCAAACGGATGGAGCTGTTAGGCAATCTAGCAAGACTTTCCATTTATATTCTGTAATCGAGCCCATACATGTGCATTTCGGCAATTCTGAGAACTCATAGCCAATTGCTCGGTAAAGCTCCAAAGCTACTTTTCATGTCATTTATTCGGCTTATTTATTCGGCATATCAGCAACTCTGCAAATTCACAAAACATTTCATGCAATGAAGAGCCACAGAACTTGTTCATGAAGAAGAAGAGGAAAAAGATATTTCTTTTGTTTTTATTGTAATAGTCTAAATTTTTGTGAACTTGAAGTTGTAATGAAATGATGAAACTCATCTTCTTAATTTTATTTTAGTTTTGTTTTTTTGTATTAAGGGGTAGAATGTAATTGTTTTGTAACTTCCTCTAACTCACAGAACGAAGGTTTATATTTGGAAATCCTTGTAAAATGAATCTATAGTTCAATGAGAAAGAAGCATATTGAATGAAATGTAGAGAGCAAAACACTGCTCATACTGGCTACTCGTCTTACACTTAATGACTAATTTATTTAAGCTCGCATTTCTTGGATGACGTGACTCTTGAATGTTACTTCATCCAATGATGCAACATTATTTACAAATCAAATTACATAACTTTATAACAGTTTTGCGTCATAATGGAAAGTCAACCAAATTATAAAAATGGTTAATCCTCAAAGACTTTGTCTTAAACTGCGCAACATTGATCCACTTTCTAAAAACAGGGGACTAGAGCCTTTGGTATTATCCTAGGCTCTTTATCATCTTGCGGAGCAATCATGAATGTTTCCTTCTCAATCACCCAGTGAGGACGTGGAAAATTTTCACATTTGCTACCACGCAACTAAGAATGTAGAGTATTCTTCTCTAATGGAGTAATCCATTAATAGGCACATCGCTCTCACTGTCCCTAGGATATTGGAAATTTCTTTTCATTCTCAACTAGGCTACATAGAGCGCTATGCTTAGAATTCTCTGTCTTATAGAGGTCCAAAAACTCTATTCACGTCACCTTTACTAAGAAAACTTTATGTGACTTAGTTACACTCCCACAAAGCTGCTTACCTATATGCACATGACCCGGAGGGTTTACATGACAGCATACAATAATGCGCCATAGAACTCTAGGTCTTAACTTCGCAACCTTATGAGAAGTAAAAATAAAGATAAGCTGCTTAATGGTTACAGATCGCCCATAGATGGCTCTCCACTAACCCATTACATAAATGGAGTGTAAAAATTTGATATAGAGGGCATTTAGCTAGGGATATAGGCAACAAACTAAAGTGCAATTCCCAATTGGGAAACATTTTGCGCCATTATCCACCTAACATTGACAATACTTAATTCCTTATCTCTACTACACCATTATGTTATTGAGTATTAGGAATAATAAATTTTCTAAGCACCCATTTCTCTTCACAAAGTTTTTTCTAAAATAACTCAAATAGATACTCGCCACCTTGGTCAAAACTAAAAGCACGAAAGCTGTTATCTAATTGATCTCAACCTCATATGTGCAATGTCAAAAATCATCTCAAAACTTTTGACTTATGGGAGATCAAATAGTCTTGACTCAGATGCGTATCGTAATCTATAAATGTGTCGAGATT